TTTCAAATAATTTTTAAATGTCGTTACAATACGGTCGTTCGAATTTGCTCGTTGAAATATAGTGTTAATTTTATTTAAACTAAAATTTCTAAATAAATAAAATATGATAATTGTGTAAAATATAAACAATGTTGTTGGAGTGTGAGGTTAAAAGTGATAGTGTATAACACTGTTCGTCTCTTAAATTATAGATATAAACAATCAGTTTTTAAACAACTGTTGGAGATGGCCTTATATTCAAATAATTAAAGCCAAAAGAAGGAAAGGGAAAAAAAAAGCAGCACTTACTTTATAGTGGGGCGGCTTTTGGGGGCACATATGTTGTATAGGCATATTGTCCTATCATCAATCATCAAATAATCAAATCGCAGATAAAATGTAAGGCGACGATCCCTCATCACGTATCTATCATACCCCAATTTCTAATATATTAATTAGTCTCTTGCAAATTAAGAAACAGTATATTCTGTACACCTTCCGTATTGGCCGAGAAATCATTACTATATATATATCAGTAGCACACGCTCCATAGTATACTAGAGTCAATCAAGAAAGAGAGAGGTATATATATATAGAGAGAGAGAAAGAAGATCTAGAGAGAGAGAGGTAAAAAATGGAAAATAAAGAAGAAGCGAGAAAAGGGCCATGGACAGAAGAGGAAGATGCCCAGCTGGTACTTTACGTGAACTTGTTCGGCGATCGCCGATGGGATTTCATAGCAAAAGTATCAGGTTTGAAGGGTTTGGCGGGAGACACTATATAGGTATGCTTGTTTTTTTGTGCAACGCCCACGCGCATGGTACTACTCACCATGCACGAGCCGATAATAAAATAAACTTAATTAAATTCTGTTCTGTTTGTAAATAGGTCTGAAAAGAACAGGAAAAAGTTGCAGGCTCCGTTGGGTTAACTACCTTCACCCGGGCCTCAAAAAAGTCAAGATGACTTCTCATGAAGAACGACTCGTTCTTGAACTTCACTCGAAATGGGGAAACAGGTTTCACTTTTTACCCATCCGTCGATTATTCTCAATTTAATATTACTATATAACTGAAATATGGATCGTGCAATTTATTTAAAGATGGTCGAGAATTGCAAGAAAATTACCTGGTCGGACCGATAACGAGATCAAGAACTACTGGCGGACCCACATGAGGAAGAAGGCTCAACAGAGCAAGAAGCAGAAGAAATCCATTTCTCCGATATCATCTTCGGATAACTCTTCATCATCCTCATCGATATCCAATAGCCCTACTACGGAGGATTTTACTCCGGCAAAGGAGACGAGTTTTTACGACACGGGCGGTGTGGAAATAAAGGATTTGATGATCCCTGCTGCTGCTGCTGCTGTCGAGCCTGGAGAAAGCAAGAAAAACGGTGTGGAGTTAGCAAAAAGCGGCACCAAGGAGGTGTATTCCATGGATGACTTATGGAAAGAATTCGAGTTTTCGGGGGAAAGATGCGAGCTCACATGGCAAACGGTGGTCTCCCCCATATGGGATTACTGCCCATCGAATGATGACTCCTTCTTGTGGTCCATGGATGAAGAAGACGAGAAAAGCAAGATGCTGATGCAGCCAATGGGTGATCAGTTTTATTCTTTTCCTTTTTACAATTATAATATATGACTGGCTAAGAACCTTAAGCAAGTTCATTTTTTAGTTATTATATTAAAAGGAATTGGTTCGTAGAAGTTAGGTCTCACTAGGGTAAGAGAGTTCTTATTAACTGTTGTACAGTTTCATATCTATTTTTCTTCAGCAGTTATGTGATCAAGTACGTTGTAATATACCGATCATCTAATGTATGAATGTGAAATAATTTGTTTCTTGCTTGTATAACTAGTAACATGAGCGATGCATGGCACATACATATTTCTAATTAATAAGTATATAAAATATGTACATAGGGTGCATTCATATTACGAATATAAAAAGTTCGATTCTACTGTTGGGAATTGTTATACAATAACTTTACCAATTATCTGAAAATGGTCTAATTAAATGTTTTATTTTATTTATTCTTTGGTGGGTGTAGTGGCTATTCCCTATTTCGCACTAATTAAAGGTACTTTTTCAAATCCAACTTTCCCCATAGAAATCATCTTCCTTTCCTAATTGTATAGAATTTATAATCATTGCAAAAGATTGAAAGAGTAACCAACGTTCATGCACTGTGCACAAATTAAAGACAAGTATCCAATTATAAAACTAAAGAATTTAGATGCGCTCAACGTTTTTCGAGTATTTACATCGCCCACGTTACATCAAGCACTATCGCACAAATATAATACAAAGCACCCCATCTTTTAGTAAAGCTATCTTTCCGTAATTGTAAGTTATTCTGATAAATCGTGAGTCAATGAAGCATAGATGCACAATAGACGTTAGCTAGGATAACAAAATTTAGTGGATGTGCATCGTAAATTCAGATGCATTTAACTTGCTCGCATATCAAAAAGCAGTTACCTACATATCGCGCATAGTAAAAGAATCCTAGTACTGTACTTTACCTCACACTTCTTCTACGAGCTTCTTCTTCGTGGGCCATGATTCCAGCAGATGTTGTCACAGCAATATATCCAAACTGCAACGTTAAATTCAAATTCAACGTATTAAGTTCCATAAGAAATTTGGTACGAGAAACGAAACTTTTAGCACGTGATTTTGTTTATTTAAACACGCAGTGCCCACCCTCGTTTACAGAAACGAACGAGCTATGTTCTGTTTTCAATAAAATGATTTAGATGAGCTTTGAATTTGGAATAAATCGAATTTGGATAGAAGTTAATATAACTATCGACGGAGAGGAATACTATATGATCATCAAATTCCAATAAATCATCTTAACAAATTGAATCAACAGTACGATGACAATAGTTTGCATAATTAATCCATTATTCAACAGTCCCTAAAATCAACATATCCAACAGAGAAACATCA